TTAGTGTGAGAGCGATGAAAATAGTGATGAAATGGGAAGTTAACATTTTAGGGGTATATTGTTAACAGACTCATATTATCGCAATACTTTTGAAAAGCTTTAACTGTTAGATAATAAAAAACTGTTAGATAATAGAATAATAAAAGAATAATTTTTGTCTCAACTAATTGAAATTAGTTCATTCCAGAGAACAGTTTTATGAATAGCTATTATTAAATAAATCAAAAATTAATTTTCATTTCTGTTAGAGTGGTTGTTTCGATAAGAGCCGTCCCGAACGGGGGGCGTAGGGGTTACAACCCCCAACACCAACCCCCAAAGCTGTTATATATGCATTTGAGATATTTAGCATTTCATTTGAAATAGCACATTTAGCAGTTCAGTTGAAAATGTCCAATATCGAAGACCCTTTCTTTTGTGTGTGTGTGTATCCCTAGTTAGCAAAAAACACATACCATCCTTCCCCCCCCCCCCACACACACACACAAAAGAGAGATCTCCTCGGGACGGCGTTGACAACAACCACGCTGAATAAGAGAAGCAAAAAGCAGCAGCATTAATACAAATATGTCCGGCTCCTTTAGGGTAAATTTTTATTAAGCCCACTAACCTATTTGCTCTCGCCAAAAAAACCTTTCTCTCTAAAAATTTATAAACCCTAACGTTAAAGAAAAAAAAAATATTTGAGAAAAAAATAAGGGTACGACCCCCCTTGCCCAGGAAACAAATTTAACACGCATGTTCATTGAGACTATACAAATGCTGTCAAGATAAAGTAAAATTAAAGTTAAGTCTGAAAGATCAAGTAAAATCAAAGTAAAGTCTGAAAGATCAAGTAAGAGTCAAAAAAGTGGAGTTCTCTAGTTAGCTCTGAAAATAATTTTAAGATGAACTTTTATTAAATTTACGCAAATGCTAGAAGTTTCAGAGTTCCAGCTAGTCTGAAAGGTAGTCAGGAACTTTTGAAAAAAAAGATACAAGTTTATTCTAAAGCACTATTTAAATTTAATTAGATTTTATTTTTCTAATCATCCTTGTGCGGGTGGACACCAACACAACAAAAAGGAGGTTATTTGGGTGCCAAAAACCTATAGTAGAAGATTGAGCAAGTTTCCTTACTATCTTTTTTCAAATAGACTATATATGATAAAACGCATTAAAAGATTATATCTGATAAACACTTCTTCAATCATATAAATTATATCAGATAGTTTAAATGACTTATACTTTTTTGAAAACTGTTTTAGCAGTCGATGTCCTTGCAGATACCAAAAATGTAATACTGCGTCATATTACCATAACAAAATACTTGATTGAAAAAGGTAAATACAATAAAAAAATACTGGAGTAAAAGCGCGCTCTAAGGAACAGTGACTTAGTCAAGGTTTACACATGCATGAATTACCCATAGCTTAGAAATTATGCCCCTCCCCCCGCCAAAGTTTCATTATGGCCATTAACCTATTTCTTCTATTTCAATAAAATAGAAGTAAAAAATCAATGATTATTTAGCAGCCCCTATTAGCACTTATGCGGCAGGAAGGGCGTCTCTACACTACTGGTGTACCTGCATTATAATAGAACTACCCTTTATGATATACGTGAAAAAAATCCTTTCCCGATGTCCCACCACAAATCACAAACACTGCCCACATACATCAGAGTATTACTTGATGTACTACCCGGAAATGCCCTCAAACAGGCAATGAATTTGAATACGCAACCTATTTCAGAATTTATATTAAATCGACATGAAATGACTGTTCTTTGAGAAAGTAAATAATATAACTTCCATTTTACTTACTTAAAAAGTAAAGAATAAAATTTCAAAGAAAAAATTTACTTTTATTTCTAAAAGTAAATAACATTTTTTTTCAAATTACTTTTATGTAAGCTGTTTTTGCTAATTAGTTACTTTTACACGTAAAAGTAAAAGTAATTTATTGTTATGATGTAGTTTTATTTTACTTTGTAAATGTAAGTGTTATATTTCTTAAATATTATATTTACGTAAATAACTTTTTTTCTTTATAAATAACTTTTTTTACATTTAAAGAGTAAATTACATTTCGATGTAAATTTTTGACACAATTATAGCCAAAATTACTTTTCAAAGTAATTTACTTCACTTTTAATGGCATGTTACATTTACTTTGTAAATGTAACTTACCATTAAAAGTAAGTTACATTTACAAGTAAAAGTAAAAATACAACGTCTATGTATTTAGACTTTGATGCACTTATTCCTAATTCAGTTGACGTATTCATACTCTGCTTTGCCAACGGCTGAATCAGTTGATGTATGTACACTTTAAAGCATCTATTTAACTTAAATATAATAAATGATAATTAATAAAAAAAATGAAAATTAAATGATGAACACTAATAATGGATACTACTAATAAAATTTAGTATTGTTTTAAAAAAGTTGGAAAAAGATCTACCTGGAGGTTTGAAGTCGGGTTTCCGTTTGCGTTTACATCAGTTTTATCTAGGCAACACTGGGCTAGGTCAGAATTTTGCTCTCGAAGTATTTGTGAATATCATGCCGGAAATTAACCTTAGAATTATTTATAATTTATTATATATAACTAAATTTATTTTACTATCTGTATTTCTCCAGCAAGAGTGGTAAATGGATGGTATCAGAGCTTTGTATGTTTGTTTGACAAGATAAAGTAAAAAGTAACTACATTTTGACAAAAAAGTTTGAAGTTATTAAAAAAAAAAGAGAAAAAAGTAGAGTAAAAAAAATCGATTTTTATTACACTTATGTAAAACATTAAGCATTAATTTTAAATATAGTGAGTCAACTTACCACTTGAATATGAGTAACTCACCTCGCCTCGGGGTAAGTTGGCTCAATTTTTTAAAAAGCTCCGGCTAGTGCTCATTAAATTTTTTTTATAATTAATGCAATTTGAATATGTTACGCAAATTCATATGTTTCAAAATTACAATTTGATATTTACAAAAAAACGTGCCATGTGAGCTTCAGAACTCAAAAATTCTTGATTTGTGGTCCGATTATTATACCAGTCCTAACTTTTGCCTCGGACAGCTTTAAAAAAATATCTTGGAGGTATTGAAATAATACTGATTCCTCGTCAAAAGCAGTGGCAAATTGATTAATTTTTTTTTTTTTTAATGTTGATTTAGGTGCCCCAAGAAGTCCTTACGGTCTTATCACAGAGCACCGCGGAAGAGCATTCAATGGGAAGTTCACGCCTCCTTCCTAACCGATGTCGCAAAACTTGCCCAGAGGTGGGTTTGAACCGCGGATCTTACGTTCCTCAGGCAAGTGCGCTACCACTGCACCACGGCTGCTTGAGGCCAACCTTTTTGTGTAATAGTGGCATAAGGACTTTATGAAGTTCTATCAGCGGCTCCCACTTTACATTACTCTTCCCATCAGAGAACTCGATCGTTTGTGGCCAGTTTTTTGTGCAATAATACGCCTTAGTGTCACAGCTGTCCCAGAGACAGAGGAAACAAGGAAATTTTGTGAAACCTCCTTGAAGACCCAAGAGGAATGATACTATTTCGAAGTCACTGATGACCTCTCATCCGTAGTCGTCATACTTAAATGCACTCATCAACATTTAGAAACAGGCGTAGTCCTATTTGAAATGTAGAGTGGGCCATCAGGAGAGATGGGTAGTTGTTTCTATTGTGAAGCAACACGGCTTTTAGGCACTAGGATAAACTTTCTATGAAAAGGCGCCATTCAATAGAATTACATGCGATACCTAAGCCTGGAATAGACCAACAACATCGTTGCAGAAGCCCATAACGCAGACTGAAGAAGTTGGAGAATCTTTGATGCCGCTTCCTCTGATCTGTGACTTGTACGCTATTATCAACCAAGTTCCACTGTTTGAGCCAGGATATCAGAAAATCAGCATTTTGTAAGCCCGAGGTCCCTAATTAAATCGTTCACGTGTTTCTGGTTAGGGAAGTATGGCTTTCTATCCCCAACTTCATCTGCGGAATCGTAGTCCATATTTCTAGTATCTGCCAACTGGAAGAATGGGGCTGTGTGGTACTGGGGCGATGGAAATAAATATGTCTGGATAAACGATCTGAGGGGTATTTTTGCCGGTGCGATGATTTTTTAGGTTTACCATGCAAAAGTAGCAACTGTTTAAATGGTCCGTCGGCTCTCACCGAACTTGCGGGATAGCAAATGAATCACCTGAATGCAAACGACCTCCTGATGCCATACCAAAGAATTGGAATCTTGGTTTGAGACACCTGTGTTTTTATACTTTTTTGTACAGCTTTTGGAACGTTCAAGAATGTTTAAGAAACTTCAGAGAGTTTCTTGAAAGTTCTGAAAGTTTCTTGTACGTTTCGGAGTGTTTAGGAGAATTGTAGAAACATCTTGACAATTCTAGCAGTTCAGGAATATTATAGAAGAAAGCGCGGCATGGAAAGCAAATCGAGAATTTACTTGAAAACACGCGATTTTCCAAATTTAATAGTCCCATTTACAAGAAGCAAAGTTTTTCTGGAATAACAGCGATTTCCTTTCTGTTCTAGATCTAATGGGTATGGAAAACACACTTTCAACCTAGCAACAGAACAAAAGTGAAAATTCGTTACATAATGTAATATGTTTTAAAAGCCAATTAAAAGTCTAATAATCAACAGAGTAAAATAAAGCTCTAATAATCAACAAAGCACCGCAAAATGATGAAAATTTCTGCTATCTTCCGAGCTAATGTCGTTTATAGTCAGAACAAGTATTTAATTTTATCAAATTTCATGAATCAACCAATTATAATAATTATAAAATTAATTCATTTCTAAAACTATAAATAAACTCACTTTATCATTTTTAATCGCATTTCTAAAAATATAAACTACAAAAATAAAAATATAATAAAATTTTATGTAATTTAAAGAATTTATAATTTCATTCAGTTTATACTCATCAGCAAACTTATTGAACAATTTATAAAGTTATTTAAATATGAATTTTAATTAAAAGATTATACTTAAAGATGAAATTATTAAGAAAGTTAAATTTACATGTATATAAACTTATATTATACAAATGTTCTAGTAATAAGAGGTGTACCAACTAAAGGGCCGTTAGTGTGTGCCGACCATAATAGTTTACCAGTATTCGAATCTAATGCATTTAATCGGCCATCTAAACTACCTATATAAATAACGTTTTTTGAAAGTCGCGGTGAACTAAAGAATATCTGCGAACCAATATCTGTTTTCCATTTAACTTCGCCTGAGTCTGGATCAATAGCATAACATGTTCCGTTTCCTCCAGCAATATATAAAATATTATTAACACCTAGATATGGACTGGAACTACATCCTATGTCAGCTGTTAAAAAAATAAAAGCAAGTCAATGTTATTATACTTTAAACCTTTCCAACAAACATGACGTCTAAAAGATGTCTTTTAAACGTAACTTGTTTGCTAGAATGCGAACTCTGTTTATAAATATAATTATTAGAATTAATTAATTGTATTTCAAATTAACCTACAGTTTCCAATATTTAATTTCCAAGAAACTTTGGGAGGTTCTAAAATTAATGCTAAAAGACTTCCGCTTTTGCTTAAAATAAAGAGCTTTCCTTGACTATCTGCAACAGGTGTAGCTTCAATACTATCATTGGACGCGGTTTTTTTCAAAAAAGTAATATTACCAGAGGTTGTATTGAACGAATAAATACAACTGCTAGTATCACAAAATGTTACAAGGGAGCCATTATGACTGATGCACGGAGAAGCTTTGATTGGTGAAAATGCCATATATTTCCAAGCAACTGCACCAGTTTCTTTATCAAGAGCAAATATATTTGATCTATATGCAGACATTGTTGCAATAAAAATACTGTTATTGGTTAAACAAGGTGAACTCCAAATCTCGGATTTTAGATTTTTTTTCCATTTTAAAGTTCCGTTGGAGTGTAACACGTAGAAATAATGATCCATTGATCCAAAGTAAATTAAATTTAAGTGATCGACAAAAGCTGAAGATATGATTGATGCATTGGTCTTAAATTTCCAAATTACAGTACCGGATGTCACATCTAAAGCTCTCATGTAACCGTCATCTGCTCCACAATATACAACCAAACCGCTGTTGTGAAAGTTGCAAGTTGAACTTTAATAAAAAAATAAAATTTTGACAATTGTAATACATAATTACAAAGTTTAAGATTAAATTATGTAAATAAAAAGCTCACCCAGTATCATTAGCAGTTTCCACTTTCCATTTTATTTTTCCTGTTTGTGCGTCAATGGCGTAAATCCAACGGTCATCTGAACCCACAAACACAGTCGGTTGGCTTAACTCAACTTTTTCATAAATTACTGTGTTGTTTACAAAAAAAGATTCCTTTTCAACATCTTCTAATTTTACTGAAATAAAAATTTTTATACAACTAATTTAACTATTAACTTTTAAACCCTGAATTTATTAATAAAATAATCACAATACCTTTACCTCTTTTAGTATAGTTCACAACTTTTGGTAATATAATTTTATCAAAGTTTATCATGTTTACTTTTTGAGATGAACACTCGATTTCCAACGGTGCGTTAAAAACCATAAATTTAAATGCTTCTTCTTGTGCAAGTGAATCGCGATAAGAATAATCCGGTTCATTCTTTTAATGAAAACAACAACAATATTATATTTCTTATGGGTAAAATTTTAGAATATATTGTGTGTTTCTAAACTTATTTAGTTTACACTGTTAATTAATTTAAAAAATTTAGTGGTCTGATAAAAAACGCTTACAATATCAAGTAATTGGTTTGGTGAAAATATCGAAAACCATAAGCTGACACCAATATTTGGTGACTCAAATGAACGGACTTGATGGAACCAACCTTGTGGTATATAAGCCATATCACCTGCATTTAACACAAGCTTTAAGAAAAAAATGTAACATACAGTAAATACTGTAAAGGTCTCGACTAAATGTTAAAAGTAAAGGAAAGCAGGCATAAAGTTGAAACTGGAGAGTCGAAATAAGTCGATTTATTTATAAATACATTAATAAATACGTTGTGTTTTAATTTTTTAAAATATATTTTTCTAAAGATGCCTAATAAATGCATGTCGACTTGAATGTATTGTAAGATTACGCTTATTTCGACATTCCACTCTTTTCAAATTACTATCTGATTGAGACTTTTAAATATACATTTTTGTAAACTCATAAACAACAGAAAATTTTGAAACTAACCTTATGGAAAGGTGTACTCGCAAATAAAGGATATTTAACTAAGTCAACACCTTCTGGAGAGATTGGAGACAAATTTGGAAATGTTTTTATATCTTTAAAATACATATTATGAATGTAGTTAGGGTCAATTAAGTAGACTACTTTAACTCCAGAAAAAACAGTTAAGAAATTCTCGAAGCCATCGAAGTGCAAAGGGCTACTGGTCCCACCATTAGAAAATAATAGATGCATACTTGTAAATGCTGATTTCAATTCTTCGCACCCCATCATTAAAGGCATTTGCATATCGTGAATCATTTCAGATTGCGGAAATGGTGAGTCCAAGTACATAGAGATGTTTCGGTACTCGCTCAGAAATTCTTTCATTTTCATTGTTTTTCTTGTGTTTAAATTATTGTCGTATATTTTACCCATTTCGACGTCAAACAAAACGTCGCCATATTTTTCAATAAGATAACTTTCGTTTTTCCACTGCTTCGCAGCCATCCAATCCGATGCCACACCACGAAATACAACTGGCTTGCGTTTACGCACAAATTGAGAATAAAATTCTTTTCCCCCAAACATATAACTAAACTCAGAAATCTGGTCTTGAATTGGTTTAGCATGTTCCCCAATTTTTTTCATGTGACCACTCCAAAATTCATACGAAAAATGAGCACACTGACTAAAACACACTTGTTTATAGCTATTACGGTTGCAAGTAAGGGTTTGTTTTGATTTGTTTAACAGTTCCAAAATAACTAAACATATAAAAACATGTCTTAACAACATTTTGCAGTCGAATTTTATTTTTAGAGCGTTTTTAAAGCTATAACAACTCTAGTGATGAAACAATGTTTTTCAATACCGGCTTCGGCATATGTGAAACCAGGATAGCATTTCATCAGGTTATCTTCGTTTTCTTTATAGCTACATGTAGAAATCAGAAGTAATTTTTTATAATTTATCTTTATTTATGATAACTTTTAATAAATTTTAAACAAATATTAAACTATTAAAACTTTGGTTTAATGACAGTAACAAAAATGTTTCCAGTAACCGTTAAAAAATTTGAAATTTGCAAAGCTTGATATTAAATGTAATTTATCACTAAGAAGTTATATGAAATAAAAAAGACCTATAAAGCTATAATTTATGTAGCAAGCGGTATGAGGGAATACTTTTTGTGTTTCTTAGTATACGTGGTTATAGCCAGAGGCACAAGACAAGTAAAAGACGTCTTAAACATCTATTAAAATGTATTAATAAATTTCTTAAACGTTGAAACACGTCTTGTGTCTGCTGGGTATTAAACGTGTTTCGTATTAAACTTGTTTTACATTTAACATGTTTCTTAGTGAACGTATTTAATTTGATAATGGCAACTGATAGATAAATATTAAAATCTAAATTAAAAAAAGCCTAAATGTAAAATATTTTTAAACAGTAAAGGAAACTTTTTAAATGTTTCTTTACAACTTTTTGCAAGACGCATCCAATTTTTTTTAAATAAGATTTAAATAATAATAAAAAACCTCCTTTGGTTTAGACTCTAATTTCTTATTCAAAATTTATAATACAAAACTTTTTTATATCTAGGTTTCGTTGTTTCAAATTGTTTTTATATTTACTTATTGATTGAAATCTTTTTACGATATTCCATTTAAAAATTATTTTCTTAAAATTTAAAAATTCTAATGAAAGAAGTTACATGCAAAAGAAATCGCTATTAAAATTGTCAATGAAATTTGAAGGTTTAGGGGAAGAAGGTTAAATCATCCTTGAAAGTTAAATCACCCGAGAGTTAAGTAATAATAATTTAAACTTGTGCAATTTGTGTACAATTTTTTATTTATATGTTATGCATCCTTCATGTAAATAAATATTCATCTTAACAATTGTGTTTTGGTTCTTTTTAGAGAACTTTATAAAATTAAGTTGTATTAACGGTTACGTTACCCTGTTGTTACGTTACCCTGTTGTTAACAAACTCTAGTATTTTAATTATACACACACACACACACACACACATATATATATATATATATATATATATATATATATATATATATATATATATATATATATATATATATATATATATATATATATATATATATATATATATATATATTTGTATAAGTATATATATATATACAATATATATATATATATATATATATATATATATATATATATATATATATATATATATATATATATATATATATATATATATATACATATATATATATATATATATATTATATATATATATATACATATTAAAATGTCTAAATATGTTTAAATTTGAGCATTTTTTATTTAATAATATATATTTCAAATTAAAATAAAAAAAACAATTGTATAATTTTTTTATTGATGCTTCTTGCCCTGGCTAACCTTTTTAATGACTGATTACAAAGGTATTTAAGGATAAGTAACGTTATTTTGATAGCGCCAAAGCACACAATATCTAAAATACTCACAACAAAAACAAAATAAGGATTCGAATTTTTGAAAATTTTCTAATCGTATCTCGAATCATATTTTTGATTCGATTCGAAATTTAAAAATTCGAAGCTTCACAGGCCCCTAATATATATATGTATGTAAATATATATATATATATATATATATATATATATATATATATATATATATATATATATATATATATATATATGTATATAAATATATATATATATATATATATATATAGGGCCGGGCGAGTAGGTGTCACGTGGGGAGGGGGGGTGCTATTACAACTTTTGCCGACTTAAACAAAACAAAAAAAAAGTCCTCGTTTTTTAAAATTTGCCGACTGCCTTATCGACTGACTGTCTAAATTTACCGACTTGTCAAAAGGGTCTACATTTGCCGACTAACTAGTCAAAAAGAATCAAATTTGCCGACTAAATGAAAGAAAAAATTATTAATATATATATACATGTAAACCAATTCCTATTTAATGTAAAATATTATCCTCATTTATAAAACTGACTTTTTTTGTTTTGTTTAAAAAATTATTCAAAAAGAAGACATTTAGTCTTACCCTTTCTTTTAAAAATAAATTTATTTTAAACACCAAATTCTTATTTTTTTTCTACTGAATTGTTTAAGTTTATGACTTGAAAAACAAAATGGCGTCGGCGATCTTCGATTATTTTTCATTACCATTTATTTATGTCATTTTAAACAAAAATAGTAATCCAATAAGCAAAAAGATTGAAACGTAAAATTAAACTTACTTTTATATTAAACATTAAACCAAAATATTAAAATTACAAAAGAATATCTCAAAACAAACAACTTATCTTCATAAACTTAAACATCTGTCATATTAAAACTTAACAATATTTGCGCAGAAATTTATTGTTAAAAAATTGCTTTTAGAAATATTTACGTATATATAAACAACTTTAACAATAAAAAAATGACTTATTAATGGAAAAATAAAAGTCTATTGTTTTTTAACTTTTAAATGCTTTGTCTAAATGATTTTCCTAATAGATATTTATAAGGCTTCGTTATATTATATTTACTTTTACATTCTCAAAACCTAAATCTTTTTTGCTCTCTTCTTTATTACAAAAAAAAAACAAAAGCAAAGGTCTTAAAGTGCAAGAAGTGAACTGATTATTTAAAAAAATTCATTAATTATTTATTAAAAGCATTCTGGTTTTGCTGGTTTGCACAAGTAGATATTTTAGAAAATAAAAAATTTAGCAAAACCCTAGAAGAATATGCGAAATGGAACAAACCTTGTAGAATATGCTCAATGGAACAAACCCTTGTAGAATATGCTCAATGGGACGAATTGGTTACCTTGTTTAATAAATTGCTTCGTTAAAACACAAAAAATTTAAAATATCTTATCAAATTAAACTATTTGTTCCCTAAGGCAATTCTACAAATAAAGTAAAAGTCCCATTGAGAGCAACGATAAAATATTTATTTTTACTACTCTTAACTAGATTTATATTCATTGATGAGTTTTAAATTTCATACAATAAGCTTTTAGCGTTCAAAAATTATGACTATATAAAGTTTGAACCATCTTTATTTTGAGAAGATTCATTTCTAAATTTTGAAAAAATTAGGGCATTTTTGTTCCCAGGCTCAAATCATCTCAATTTTTTGCTAAGGGGTCGTCCATAAATTACGTCACGCTAAAAGGGAGGAGAGGGGGTTGGTGGTTTTGTGACGACTCATTCAAAACTCGCTTTTTAAGTGTTACGATTTTGTGACGAGGGAGGGGGGGGGGGGAGTTCGTAAACAGTCAAAAATTGCGTGACGTAATTTATGGACGACCCCTAAGCATACTTATTTTACATAAGTATAAATATATAAATGTTTGGGGTTTGCTCCGTGTCTAAAAGTTACGTCAAACATCAAAACATGCTGCATACATATATTGTATGCAGTGTAGTATACATATAAGCTAACAACAATTTATAACTATAAAGACAGTGATTTGACAATGAAATTACTACGAGTTAGCAAAATGTAGATAAACAAGATATTTAAGTGAATCACTGATATTAAAGAACTCTCAAACTTTTGAAAAAACTGCTAAACATTAACATCTTATAAATGTTGGTCAAAAAATCATCAAATTGTCAACAATTAGCGAACTTCATTTACTAGATAAACTTATAGTTACTATATTTTTATGTCTACTGCAATACCACACTGCTTTCTAAAAGTTAAAAATTGTATATCATTTTTATTTAACTATAAATATATTATTACAAATTATTACCATAATTACTAATACGTAAACGACAAAAAATACTCAATTGACTTTAGGGTCGTGTTAATATAACTTTTTCATTTTTTACTTGAGAATTTCTAAAACAACTAGTTACCAAGCTACAATATAACTATAGATTTGTAGTTATACTTATATACCTAAAAAGCATCAGGTATCGGCATATAGTAACAACATCGTTAACTACAAAACTGCAATATATAGCTACAGGGGCAATTCTAGTAAGAAAATGAGGTGGAGGAGGCGAGTTCATTGAAACTGTTGACTGCTTTCTAAAAGAAAAAGGTCTTCAAAACTTAAAATCTTTTTTTTTTTTTTTTAAGTTAATTAAGGTGCCCCAAGAAGTCCTTACGGTCTTATCACAGAGCACCGTGGAAGAGTATTTAATAGGAAGTTCACGCCTCCTTCCCAACCGATGTCGCAAAACTTACCCAGAGGTGGGGTTTGAACCACGGATCTTAGCTTCTGAGGCAAGTGCGCTGCCACTGCGCCACAGCTGCAAAAATCTGATAACTGAAATGCCTATATTCCTTAAAAAACCAACTATAAGTTGAAAATAGCCTTCTTTAAAGAAGTGCGACACCCTCAGCGCACCCCTTTAAAATCTCCCATGTATAGCTTTCGACGCCGTGAAACAAATCAAATTTTTTTAAAAGTAAAAGTTAAAACTAAACAATAATGTTAGATAAGATATAGATTAAAAATAAAAAACATAAACAAATTATATAAAGTTAAATATTTTGTTTTACATTGCATAACTGTATTAACATTACATTAACCAAACAAAAAATTTGTTTATTATTTATAATTTGTACTTCATAAAAGTCAAAGAAAACAATTGCCACCTATAATAAAGAAAATATAATATATAAATTATATTTTCTTTATTTACAGGCGCGGATGCAGCATTTTTTGATGTTTGAGATACCTAACTTCCAGTCATGGAATAAACTCCAAGAATTTATATGTTTATACTTATATCAAATAAGGATGCTTTGCAAAAAATTGCAATGATTGGAGCCTGGGTACAAAAAATCCTAAAATTTTAGCTATACCTGCCCCAAACGTGAGAGCAGCATGCTGATAAAATAATTTTTATACTATTCTTAACTAATATTATATTTATCGACAAATTTTAAAATTCGCACAAAATTTTTTTAGCGTTCAAAAACTATGACCATAAAATGTTTGAACCCTCTTCAATTTGAGGTTGCAAATTTTATAAAGCCATAATTGTTAAACGCTAATAGATTATTGCGTGAGTTTTTAAATTTATCGATAAATATATACTTGGTAGAGAATAATAGAAAAAAAAATTTTATCAACTTGTTGCTCTCACGTTTGGGGCAAGTGTAGCTAAAATTTTAGGGTTTTTTTGTTCCCAGGCTCCAATCATTGCAAATTTTTGCAAAGCATCCTTATTTGATATAAGTATAAACATATAAATTTTTGGAGTTTGTTCCATGATTGGAAGTTAGGTATCTCAAACATCAAAAAATGCTGCATCCGCGCCTGAATAATAACAAAATAAAATTGCACAATTCAATACTTTTTTGCTCTTTTTTCAATACTTTTTTGTTATATTTTGAAATACTAGTATAGTTACACAAAGTGAATAGCTTTTAGAAAAAAAAAATTGTTCAAAATAGAGCTAGATCTAAATCTGATGATTAAAAATAGTTTCAACAATGTAACAATAGTAACAACAATGTAACAATAGTTACAACAATGTAACAATAGTTAACAATAGTTACAACAATGTAACAATAGTTACAACAATGTAACAATAGTTTCAACAATGTAACAATAGTTACAACAATGTAACAATAGTTACAACAATGTAACAATAGTTAACAATAGTTACAACAATGTAACAATAGTTACAACAATGTAACAATAGTTTCAACAATGTAACAATAGTTACAACAATGTAACAATAGTTAACAATAGTTACAACAATGTAACAATAGTTACAACAATGTAACAATAGTTTCAACAATGTAACAATAGTTACAACAATGTAACAATAGTTACAACAATGTAACAATAGTTAACAATAGTTACAACAATGTAACAATAGTTACAACAATGTAACAATAGTTTCAACAATGTAACAATAGTTACAACAATGTAACAATAGTTAACAATAGTTACAACAATGTAACAATAGTTTCAACAATGTAACAATAGTTACAACAATGTAACAATAGTTACAATCAAAAAATTATTTTTAGAAAAGCGGCAGAAGAAAGGTTTTTCTGAAACGGTTCAAGTTGTTTTTTTATATATTAATCGGTTGTTATAATTGTATTTGATACAACATTATAAGTAATAATTATTGATGAAGATTTGTTAAAAGTTATATAAATTAGTCTTTAGATAAATGGGTTTCATCATTAGAAATGTTTGTGAATATTAAATAGAGTTACGAAAAAATGAACGTGCGGCTTCTATAACATCAGATTATTTACGCATGAAGTACGAAATTTTGAAATATACTGGTTCGGGGGTGATAACACACCCCCGAACCAGTATATTTCAAAATGCCGGATTGCATTTAAAATTGTTATAATAATACATCGAAACAATAATTTATCTATTTCTTTTTTATAATCTAATAATATTAATACGCTAATTTAATAGTAGTTGTTAATAGTCGATATACATCATTTTCTATTTACGGCTTTTCTATTTTAAAGTAGTTTCTTGGCTTTTCTATACGCGTTTTTTTTTTTTTTTTTTTTTTTTTATAACAACCCGTATTACGGGTTGCTTACTGCTAGTATAACATTAATATAATATTATAATTAATTTATTTTTTAAATTAATTTTTGATATTATTTAAAAATATATTTGTTTATAAATAAACAAGTATATTTAAAAAATATGATTTAAATAATGAAAAAACTATTGACAATATAAATTATATATATATATATATATATATATATATATATATATATATATAATATATATATATATATATATATATATATATAAAATATATATATATATATATATATATACATATACATATATATATATATATATATATATATATATATATATATATATATATATATATATATATATATATATATATATATACATATACATATATATATATATATATATATATATATATATATATATATATATATATATATATATATATATATATATATATATAATATATATATATATATATATATATATATATAGTATATATATATATATATATATATATATATATATATATATATATATATATATATATATATATATATATATATATTAAAAAAAAATTATATAGAAAAATTCTGATTTTAAAACTGCTCACCTCCAATCTCCCCGCTCTCATTTCTTCTTCTTCTTCTTCTTCAAAAAAAAAAAAAAAAAAAAAAAAAAAAAAACAAGAAATATTAAAAAAAAAAAAATTACCTTAAAAGAAGAATCCTGCTAATAATGAAACCAAGATGACAGATACGAACTTTTAAGTTATGTCCTTTGTCATTATTTAGGAGGTGTGTAAAAATATTTAAATGTTAAAATATTACTTTTTTATCATTAAAAATTGCGTAAACATAAGATTATTAAAGTGAAAATTTTACATAAATCGGATCATTCTACAAAATGTTATGTGCATGTAAGTAATGAAAGTTGACAACAACGAGTCCTTAGGAAAACTGTGACTAGTTTCGAAATATTCCATTCGGTTAACAGTAATAATAATTGAAATTATTCACATAATAACCAATCGCGTTTTAAAGTCAGAGACACGTGATTAAGCATGACATTTTAAATGATAATAAAATAATTGTGAAAAAAGTCGATGATTATATACTTATTATGCAAAGGAAAATGGAATGTCTACGACATGATATTTTAAAATTAAGTTCGAAAAGTAATTAGAAAATACATATAAAAATTGAGGAGAACTGGTTTCATAAGAAAATATACGTATGTTCAATAAAAACGCGATGTCAGATCGTGTTTAAATTAAAAAAAAAATAATTAAAAAAAAACATACTGCATTAAAGCTACATTCTACTTTTTAAAAACTGTTGATAATTTAAAAAAATAAGACTTCAAAACCTAACTAGTCGAACTAAACAACCAGACACTAAACAAAGTTTAAAAAATGTGGAGCGTAATCCGATTGAATAAATCGGTTCCGTAAAACGTGCATACGCACATAACTTATGTATAAATACAAGGTTTTATTAACAGTTTTAAAATCATTTTTAATTTTAATTTGAGATGTTTATAGTTATTTTAGTTTAATATGTTTATAGGTGCTATTAAAAAAAATACTTACACGACACCCACGCTTTACATCGTTTAAAAACTTTTCGCAGAAATAAAAAGAACAATAAACTTTATTTGCAGATTATTGTTAACAGATTAACTGTTTTTAATTGGAAATGTTTAATAACGATTAAATCTTAAACTTTGCTATAATAGATAACATTGTTTTTTAAAAATGGCTGCGTTTGAACCGACTATTTCGGTTTTTGACTTTAATTCAATATTTTAGTGAACATATAATGACAACGTAGTTATGAAATATCTACGTTGTCATTATATGTTCACTTAAAACGTTTAATTTAGGAGACCAAAATACAGAGCTTTACTTGAAACTATAAATACAGAGCTTTACTTGAAAACATTTTTTAGTATTTTGTAGTCGATTTTGATGTCCTTAACGTAGTTAATGTAAATTTTCATTTTATTAATTTTTTGTCTCATTTAGTCCTTGTAGTCACGAGCAACAAAGTTTCTGGTCTGCAATACTGGTTTATTCGTTCTGCTCTTTTAATAAAATGTTTAGCTACTCAACTTTTACGTTTTATCTCAATTTTAAAAGAGCGCAATTCAACAAAAAATCCTCCTCCCCCCTCCTCAGTAAAATTGCCCTGAAAAAAGTCGCAGAGGTATCAAGTTGAAAATGCATCTTTCAAATTAATTCTAGAATTACGTTTCAGTAAAAGTGTTATCAATAAGTTATCCTTACTTTTAAATCCCATATTTATTGTTTTAAGTTAAAAAACTTTAAATCTAAAACTATAAATTTGAAGAAAAAATATAAAAATAATTTTAGTATGCGACATTAGATATTTTATAATTTTCCGACTCAATTAACAATATATATTTTTTTTAATTTAGTTTAAAAAAAAAAGGCAATGAAAAAAGTCAACAATAATGCTTTAATTTTTTTATATAATCAAATGTAATTTAAAAACCGGATTTAAAACTAATTGCAAAAAAGAAGTTTTGCTAATCAAATTTAAGTTTAATATATTACCTAAAACTTTTAAATAAACCAAAATGATTTAAAATTTCTAAATGTATGTCAAATTTCTAAATGTATGTCAAACTTTTTATTCTTTAAATGAGTATACACACTTGAATTAAAAAAGGAATCGTCCACAAATTACGTCACGCAATTTTTGACTGTTTTATACCCCTCCCCCATCTCTCGTCACATCATCGTAACTCTTTAGTGACAAGTTCCGTATGAGTTGTCACAAACCCCCCCCCCCCTTCCCTTAAGCGTGATGTAATTTATGGACGACCCCAAAACAGATTTTACACTGAAACAATTCTTTCTCCTTTAATGAGTTTTTAGAGACACAACTGGTTAGAAATATAATTTATAGCTTAGTACTTTTTGAGTAGTTCAGTATTTAATGTTTAACCATTGTTTAGCAGAAACATCATTTTATACCAAAGTATAACACATCAACTATAAAGATAAATGTTACAACTAATTCTTAGTAATTTTTCTAAAACTTTTATTGCGCTTGAGTGTAGGTAAATTTATTTCAGAAATGGAAAATAAGTTCAAAAAACTTTCTAGTTGGGCTTAATTCAAATGCATGTTTTTTCTTAAATCGCAAAATTTGCAAACTTTTGAACTCGTATTAACTACGTTGAGTAACTTGGAAATAAATATGCTGAATGCAAGTTGAACTAGTTGGACGCGAAATATGCCCTTCAATTTGAGTGGGTTACAAATTTTAAATGGTCATAACTTCAGAATGTTAAAAGATTGTTGTATGAAATTTAAAATTTATCGATGAATATAATTTAAGTTAAGAATAGTAAAAAGATTTTTTGTCAACAATTTGTTCTTACGTTTATGGCAAATGTGGCCAAAATTTTAGGGCTTTTTTGTTTCCAGGCAATCATCGCAATTTTTTTGCAAAACATCCTTATTTGATATAAGTGTAAACACATAAATGTTTGGTGTTTGCTTGATGTCAAAAAGGTAGCTATCGCAAACACAAGAAAATGCTGAAAATGTATGTATATATGTATGTATGTATGTATTTATGTATATATATATATATATATATATATATATATATATATATATATATATATATATATATATATATATATATATATATATATATATATATATATCCTTATAGTGTAGTCAAAAGAGACTTAAATTTTTATTACCTCGTCTCTTAAGCTGTATTTGATTGTCATCGAAATGTCAAAGCAATTAAATTAATGCGGAAGTACATTAAATTTTATTGTTTTTTAAAAAAATCGCAATAATATTGACTACAAAGTTTTTTTTAATTAGTGGTGTTTTTGTTTTTGTTTTATTTTACAGCCTGACTCGCAACGGAGTGCTGCTACATCAACTGACATATAGCCTGACTCGCAAGGGAGTGCAGCTACATCGACTGACAAATAGCCTGACTCGCAAGGGAGTGCTGCTACATCGACTGAGGGTTTGGTTTGGGCAAGCAGTCTATCATTTAAAAAAACAGTTTATGGGAAAAACTTTGCGACTACCATGCAAGACTATATATATATATATATATATATATATATATATATATATATATATATATATATATATATATATATATATATATATATATATATATATATATATATATATATATATATATATATATACATATATACATATATACATATATACATATATACATATATACATATATATATATATACATATATATATATATACATATATACATATATACATATATATATATATATATATATATATATATATATATATATATATACATATATATATATATATATATATATATATATATATATATATATATATATATATATATATATATATATATATATATACATATATATATATATATATATATATATATATATATATATATATATATATATATATATATATATATATATATATATATATATATATATATATATATATATATATATATATATATATATATATATATATATATATATATATATATATATGCCCCAGGAAGAACTAACGGTCATGTCACAGAGCATCGCGAAAAAACATTTAACTAAAAAGTTCACGTCCCTTTCCTACCGATGAACAACATATGCCGAGAGCTCGCTTTGAACCCTGTAACTCTTGCATCCGAAGCAATTGCGCCACGGCCGCTCATTTATTTGTATATATAAAAAATATATATACAAAAAATAGATGCCGTATTACTTATTTAAATAAATAAATAAGTTAAACCCGTTAAGCTATTGTAAAAAATATCTTTATTTTTTTATTAACTTAATTCTCAAATTTTTATAAGCCACTATTTCCAGTAGGTTGACATGAGATAAAAAACCGTTAAAAATGAATGCTCCAATAAGTTTCAACATTAGTGACTTAAGTACAGACTATAGATTTAAACTTGTAGCAACTCAAAATATTCCATGATATATATACTTTTTGCATGTAATTACTGGTAAAATAGATGTAAACGATGATTCTAAAAACGTGTTTAAAACGTTTTTACCCATGAATTAGCACTAGACACCAGCTGGGTTTGAAAAAATGGGAAACAGTTTTTGTTCATTGGCATTAAGCAATATTGCAACATAAGCAGTTCATTTTAATATTAGCGCAGCTAAGGAAACAGATCACAAAAGAAAAATTGCTATTATGAAGTAGTTTTGTAATGCCAAAACGATAAAAACGATAGCAGAATCCAATATTTAAAAAGGAAATAGATGACGAACATGACAAATGCTCTGAGATGAATTTGTTGTTACTATTTAGATAATGTACATAATCACCCGTTTGTGTAAAATAGTATAAATATTGGTAATGATGTAATACTATTTTAATTTTTTTTTTTAAACATCCTTTCCTGTATATTTTTTATTCTATAAAATTATTTGTATAATACAGTAGTGCCAAAGAACTTTGATCCATGTTACTAAAAATTGAACCGGTTATTTTGAAAAGGACACAAGTCTATTAAAACTCAACAATGTATTTTTTATAAAAAAGAGTCTAAACTTAAGGGTAGATAAATAAAAACATATTTTATATATTAAAATATATTAAAAAAAACGTAAATCATACAGATAATTTTAAAGTTTTTATTAGTGTGGTAAATCATGGGTACAATTATTATAATTGGTAAAATGTTAATTGTAATAACACTATTGGATCGATTCCCGAAAGTATAAAGCTAACATTGGCCCGTACATGTTTGTTAACACTGTTAAGCCGATGTTGAATCAGGCCAATGTTGTTCCATATCAGTCAGCCAACTTCGGATAAACATTAAGATGTTGGATCAATCAATGTGTTGTTTGAGTTTTATTTGGATATAGCAAACTTTTTTTGTTTAAAAACTGTCATTACAGTTTTTTGATTGAAAATTATACTATAGTGTGAAATAAGAAAAATGTTTTTGATTTAATTCCGAATATTTTTGCATTTCTAGTTCAAAAAATTTCCTATAACTAAAACAACGTTGTTAATCTTAATAAAGTTGTTTACTTAAAATTTTTGTTCAGTTTTACCCATATTTTGCTTTGTTAACCGTGTCCCTTCATTTATCATTGTTTCATTCAAAGCGACACAGTTATAAGAGACATTAGTGATAATTTTATAAAATCGAATTTTATTCTAAAGCCAAAAAATTGGATACTTAATAAATTCGATTTTATAAAAAGCATTTAAATGTTTGCAAGCTCATTCTTATTTATAATATATATATATATATATATATATATATATATATATATATATATATATATATATATATATATATATATATATATATATATATATATATATATATATATATATATATATATATATATATATATATATATATATATATATATATATATATATATATATATATATATATATATATATGTTTGTACCTTTAATATATCTGCAATCGATCTTTTAGAAATGACCATGAAAGAAGACGTACATGGTACTTCTGCCATAAATTAAAAAAAAGTCATCAAAAAAAAAAAAAAAAAATAAGTATACCTAATTTTAAAATACATTTGGTAAAAAAAGCATACCTAATTTTAAAATACATTCGTTAATTTTCGATGTTGCAAAAAATTTAGTTACGTTTCCGCTTTACAAGATTGCTGCAATTAACTTATTTATCGGTCGACACAATCCAATTAAAGTTACCAACAAAATTGCTAATGGTATCCAACTTAATGTCAGCTTAACGGGTACGTTTAATGTGTAACTCCCCTTGAATCATAAATAGATAAACTTTTGCTCAAATGCTAGAAAACTATTGATTTGTTTTAATTTTCTAAAAAAAGGTATTTGAAATACTACAAGATAAAACAAAATTTTCTCCCAAAAAAATACTAGGCAATGCAAAGCAAAACAGGACGGAGGGGAATGAGACTTATGATGTTTATTACAACGACATAACAGTTTTATTATTAATATTTTTTAAATTTATTTTAAATTTTAGATTTTATCTAAAAACTTTAACTTTGGGATCGTCCACAAATTATATAACGCAAAATTTCACAATTAAAAAAAAAAAAAAAATTAAAAAAGCGTAAAAGAGCTTTTTATCTCCTACTTCTGTTTTTAAAATATTTTTGCGTTGCGTAATTTATGGACGATCCCTTTGTTTTTTCTTTGGCAGAAAATAATTATTAAATTTAAAGTTAATAATAATCGCTATTTCGTCGCAGCATTAACTGTTTAATGGAGTTAGTCTTATGAATTTTGTTTTCTTTTGATCTCACTTTTGGGAAAATAATACATTTTTTTTCATTTCATTGCCAATCTTTAATATATTTATTTACTACATACATCAAATATATTAAATACTAACAAAAAATTTAATGTATTTAATAAATTATTTCAATAAGTATAACACAAAACCTTTTAGTAAAAAAAATTAATTTTTTATGCTCTATTTAATCTCAAATAATAACTTTTTTTATAAAACTGGATATAAAAATTTTTTAAACGCAGTTTTAAATTTTTACAATTAAACAGAACATAATTAGGGGATGAGATCAGACTCTTTAAAAAATATAATTAGAGGGTGAGGTCAGACTTTTTAAAAAAATTATTTTGAAGTGACACACACAAATATATAATATAATATGTTTATACAAGTTTCAGTAAGTTAGAATATTGCAAAAATAGCTAGTTCATTTTCAACCGTAACCGTTTATAAATATTGAAGGTTTAAATAAAAACATGTAATATCAATTATAAACGGGGTAAAACTGTGAAAACATCTCATTTTAGCTTTTTTAAAGGTTCGAAAGTTTTTCAGGGTAACTAACCTAGAATGTAGAGAAAAAACGTTTAACCTAACTAAAAATCTATAAACAAATTAAACAGATTGCGGCAAAATATACTTTAAAAACCTTTTTTTTTTTTTAAATAATTAGTAACTGATTTGTTATTGTAATCAGAATGTTTACCACTTGTGAATACAGGACACACAAAACTTCAATTCTGTAGTCACAATTTTGCGACAACGCTAAGACCATATTTTCACCATAAAATCGGAACCCCCTGATATCAAATATTCACCACTTAAACTAAATATTACTGTCTGACTTGCACTGTCGTGTCCTGAAACTGTCATTACTTCACCGTTGTTTATTGTGTAAATTCTGAGAGTACCGTCGTTAGAAGCAGTCGCAATCACCAAGGCATCTGGATCAAAAACTATTCTATTCATTGGATGGGGACCAAAATCACATGTTACAATAGCAGACATGCTGCGAACATCCCACAATTTCATTATACCATATGCATCACAAGATGCTATTTTGTCTCCCTACAATAATAATCATAGATTTACTATTATTGCAATGAGTATTTAATTGAGACTGCAATAAGTATTGTACAACCATTAAAATAAAGAACAAATTAAAAATAGAATAAAGATTTGAATAAGGCAGATATTAGGATTCAATATATTAATCTCGTTTTACTAGATACATCATTTTATTAATATAGAAATAATATTAAAGTTATATATGCAATTTATTCACTAACAGAATAAGAATGGAACAATTTATATACGAACGAATAGAAAACAAAATAGAATAATTTATATACAAACAAATAAACTAACCTGTATATTAAAAGTAGCATAATTTATTGGATAAAGATGACCGTAAAATGTACTTTCACGCAATTTCGTTCGAAGATCCCATAAAGAAATAGTTTTATCAACAGAACTTGTACATAATATATTTGAAAAAGGTAAAAACTGAATACTGTTAACTGATTCAGTGTGACCACGTAGAGTGCTTCTGCATCGCACGCTAATCAAAATTAAAATTATATTTATTAGATTAGAGCAGAAAAAACTAATTTTACTGAAAATAATTCAATTTACTGTCTAAACTATCAGATATTACTTTAAAGTATTTTAGATTGATAGTTTTTGATAATTTCTACTATAGTCAAAATACCCCAATTGTAACAGTCCACAAAAATATTTCACTGTCCACAGTTGTTTTTAAATCTCACAAATTTTTGATATGCTAAAATTGAAATTTACATATATCAATTAAAATAGGGCTATCAAATTATATAAACTTTTTAGAAGATCACACCTTGAATATGTAGTCCCTATTTTGCTCCTTATTTAAAAACTGATATATCCTCAACTGAATTTGTTCAATGCAAAGCAAATCTTCAATACTGTGAAAGAGTTAAAAAAAAAAATTTACCAGCACCTGTTTCAAATGTTACCAAAATACAATAAAAATGTTAAGGTCAAGTCAAAGATTATGACTCTCAATATGTGATTTAACGTAGAGGATCCCAAAATATTACAAGTCTAACTATATGTAGACCACACGGGTAAAACCATAGATGTCGCATTTTTCTAATTTTGAGAAAAATGAAATTCAGTGACATTAAATATCTGTTTATTAGTAATTTATTTAATTAAAAGTATATTTTTCAGACATTTTAGTCCTTATACAATATAAAAACCCGGTTTTTGTGCTAAATACAAGTATTATTTATTCACAAAATGAGCGTCTTGTTTTCAAAAGAACACTTTTGAAAACAAGACGCTCATTTTGGACATATATGGTTTTTCCAATGCAAACTCATCATAAATTACGTTAGCTTGTAACCTTTTAGAGCACTTATTTTTTTAAAGGTAGATGATAACACATAGTAATATGCAACTACAACGTACTAAGTGTGTGATGGGATAATAAAGCCATCCCCCCCCCCTTCTTTTAATAAAAAAAATTCAAACAAAATATTATATAAAAGTTTTTTTTAATTTTATACAAAATAGCATTGCAACCTTATCTCTTTCCCAACCTCATATATTTACCACAGATGATTCCATGATGTCTGTGTTTATCACTTTATATCAAGTTTGTATAAACCATACAAAAACTAATTGTGAACACAACGTTAATAAAAATGTTTTGTTTTTAATTTCAAGGAATAATACAATAAAATAAAATAAAAAAGATAAAATAAAATAAAATAATGTCTTATTTTGTCTATTCAGAAAATATTTAGCTTTAGTAAGTCTTAAAATTTTTAACAAAAAAAGACAACAAAGCTATGTATGCTTGTTTCAGTTTATCAGGCACTGCGATCATTGATCTAAACATATGGGATGTAACACACATAAAACTAAATATTTCCATTTTTCCATATAGCTAAACTTTAACTTTTAATATTTCATAATTTTAATATTTCATCTTCTCTAAGTGAACATGTCTTAAATGAACAAAAAAACAAGAAGTTTGGTTTAGAAATTCTGCAAATTTCAGAAATTTTTCTTCTATTATGTTTATATACAATATTGAATTGTTATGGTTTTTTGTGAGATCGTCTAGTGTTTCTGCAAAAAACTTTTGATTTGCAATGGCCAACGTTTCTGTCACATTTTTTAGAGTTGTAATGTCTATACATAATGTGACCGAGTTCTAGTTGTAATGAAACAGTAATGCTGTCAAGTTTTTCAGTTTTATAAACTAGATAATAAATTCAAATTAAAACTTTTCATTTTGCATTTTGCCTAGCACATAAATTGCGAATCAATTTGATATTCCTACACCTGAGACAATTGATAATTTAAAAGCATGCAGCATAGAACATACATCAGACCATCTGTTTCCAACAGTTTCATCATAGCAATAAAAATATAATTTTTGATTTGAAAGTATAATAGTGTTAAAAAAAATAAAACAGGTATTGCCTGAAATAGTATACATATTGGTTTCAAAAGTTAAGGCATTTTTTTATTTTATTTTTTTGAAATCTAAACGAATTACTTCACAATTAAAAAGATCAGAATCAGAATATTATTGAGTCCATTTTCTACTTTTTTAGGATACAAAAGGTACACCTTATGAACTAAAAAAAAAATTCAAACAATTCAAAAGAAAACTTTTGTCATTATAAAAAAAAAACTTATGATGAACATAATCTTGTTTATTTCATCCAAAAAGTTAGTCATGTGACTTATGCTTTTATTATCATTGGTTTAGTTATAAATAACTCGGACAACTGCGGTAAACATAGGACAACAGTGGTTGTTTCAAAGTTGCCCTTTTTTTTAAATGACCATAGAACCTTAAAACATAGTTTTTTTGTTATGAATTTTAATTAAAAATAGCTTAGTACTAAAATATAATAAAAATATGTAAAACCTGAAATATTCAAAATATGGACATCTATGGTTTTACCCGTGTGGTCTTCATATATAAGCTATCAAACAATGGAAGTTAGAAATTGACATGGACAGTAATAGGTATAAAGGAACAAGAAAATTTTAAAATTAATGTTAAAAAGTGGATACTGTCAAGATTGCTCAAATTTATTAGGTTTTTAGGTTAAAACTTGGCTCTAAGAGGTCATAAACAACATTTTTACAATGAAGATCAAGCTGATGTAATTTGAAATAGTTAAAACATTTTAGAACTAGATCATTTTTTAAACATATTCAAAGAATCAGCTTGAAAAAAATTTTTTTTAATCTTTCATGCCACCAACCATTCAAATTAATTTTATTGAAAGTTTGGGAGATAATTTCAAAAGAAAAGTCACTGAATAAATAATAGAATCCAATTATACTTTGATGGTGTTTGATAGCACCTTTTGATATTTCCCTTAAGGATCAAAACAGCTAAGTTTTACGTCATGTTAGGATTAATGGAAATCAATAAAGCATTGTTAAATCCTTTGTTGATTTCATTGACACACATTTTCTTTCTAATGTTTTCACTAACTCAGGTTTATCATTTATTTCCTTTTGAAACAAATGATAAACAGATTTACCTCCAAACAAAAGGATTAAATATTCAACAATGTAGATTCTTTAGAAATATACTTTAATAAATCTGGCTAGTTTCTTTAAAATTATTTTTTAACTGAGAACAAAGATGAATAAGTAAATAAACCAGTTGCTAATCGAAAAGAAGTTATATTACAGAAACAGTCATGGTTCATCAATCTAGAAAGAATAAAAAAACAGATGGCTGGAGAAGAATTACAGAATGCTAGATTGTTATATAAAAATGAGCTGAGAAAGAAAATGTGTATTGACAAAGTGATTCAAGAAATCATCACAAGATTTGAACTGCTTTATGCTTTGCTGAAAAATATGTCAGTCCTACACTATTATTTTTTTGAATGATAAATATAAAAGAAAACTAGATCATGACTATGTCAACATTAATAAGGTAGAGATCCTGACTATAAACATTAACAAAGTAGAGATCCTCACTATATTTTTTTTCAACGTCTACGCTTCCAACAACAAGGCAAGAAACTGCTAATAGAGTTAGAAGTTACTTTTAATAAATGCAGGTTTTTTTTTAAACTTTTTTTCCCTGCATAAATGATAAAACTATATATTATCTGATATAGTATGTTAACAATTTATTTAAATAAATATTAGAAAGCGATATACAATAATAATATAAAAACTTTTTAAATATCTTCAACTTAAGAACTTTCAACAATTGTCAAAATACGCTAATCTTTCAGTCAAAAAATAAACATAAATTACTTTTCCTAAAATGAGCCGTATGAGTAAGATAATTCTTTGTTAAATGAATATAACTAAAGTAGATTAAAAAAATTATTTGAATCTAGATAAAAAAAATTATTTGAAAATGTCTGGTGTGTCTGGTTCATTAATCTATTAAACATAGATGTCGGTGCATTATTCTATTAAACATAGATATCTGGTCCATTAATTTATTAAACATATATGCATTATTCTATTAGGCAGGTATATATTTTTAAAATTTTAAAATTGTGTAAATAAATTGAACAATCACAGAGAAAACATATTAGAAATGAATTCTGATTACAAGTATATTTTCATTGAAAATTATTTTATTTGGTAAAAACATAGTACACCTGAACTAATATTTAAAAAAAAAAAAAACATTTTTTATAGAAGTTGTAGTAAATTATGTTATTGCTACTATAGAAAATAACTTTAAATTTTGATTAAAAAAATTTATTATTGTAGTATTGAAAAATATTTTTAACCTATTAAATGGTAAGCTTAATAAGTTTCAAAAAAAAAAAATTAATAATTATTAAAAAATAATAAACCCTATAAAGAAAAATGTATTTTACTAACTATTGTGAAACTATTTTTAGAATTATTTTTTAGGTAAAAAATAATTTCTTACTTTTAAAAATTATTTTATCAGGGTTTATCAAATTGTATCTTTACTTAATTGTTATATTTTTGTTTTTATTTTAATTTTTTTTAAATTTTGTTTTAAAATACAAAAAAAGTAATTATCATAAATAGACCTGTTCACATCCCATATCTTAGATGTTCCATCCATAGAGCATGAGGCCAAAAAATCTCCAGCAGAATGCCAACTGCAACCCCAAACAACATCTTTGTGTTCATCAAATGATAAAACATGTTTCTCAATAGAAAAATCCCATATTTTTACTGTTGTATCAGAAGATGTTGTAGCTAAATGACTTCCTCTAAATCATATAGATCTACTATTAGAATAATTATGTGGAATTAATTATGTTAATTAATTAATTAATTATGTGGAATTAACTTACTTAATATTAAATCTACATTATGGTATTTCAAACATAAAAAAACATAAACATTGAACTATGTAAAAAATGAACATTCAATTAGTACATATTAAATTCAAAACTTAATAAGTACAATATTCATATTTATTATTCTTTCAGCTTAATTCTACCAACAATGTAACAAGAAAATTAGCAACCAACTGATCCCTAATCTTAAGTAGGTTTAGCAAATTATTGTATTTTTCAATCAACTATTGTGTTTTTCAACCAATTAATAAGTTTTTTCAAACAATTATTGCGTAACTTGGCACATTGAAACTAGCAGGGTTAATAAATAGTTAATAAAAACCTGCAAACAAAATAAATTAAAAAATACATAGTTTTTTATCTACTAATTTAAGAAAAACATATTTATATAAAATATCAACTCCTCTATAAGCTTGAAGCAATTTTTATTTTTGTTTTAACAATTTTAAGAAATAAAAAATACTAAAGTTGTATGTAGACAAACAACTTTAGCATTTTTAGCTGATTTATTTTTTGTAAAGCAATTCTTTTTCCAACTAGATAATTTCATACTTTTTTGCTTTCCAGATCTTTACATAATCAGTTTTTTAAGATAACTAAAATGATAAGGCAATTTTATATTTTGCAGTTTATTAGCTTTGATTACATAATTAATGTTTTTCTATTAGAAAAATGATGTCACTCTAAAAATAGATTTTGAATAACTGCAAAAACCACCTGAGATAAATTACGAAAAGCTATTTTGACTAAAAAAAAAGTACTATACAAAAGGTGCCATACAAAAGATGCCATAGAGACATTTTTTTTTATTAAAGTTAGCATTTTGTCATTATGAGAAGTTATAATGTAAGCTAAAGTGAAAAAAGAGATGATTTGCTGCATTCTTAGACATTTGAATAGAGATTTTTTAAAAACATTTTATAAGACCTAATGTTGTAGATTTAATAATTTTTCGCATTTATTTTAGTTATTTAAAAAAAAAAAAATTAATTTTTTCACATTAAACTTTCTAAATTAAGTAACTTTAAAGTTTCAAATGTTGATGTAAAGTTTTCTTGGTTGCCAATTGAAGAGTGGAAGAATAAAAAAAAAAGGAATTAACTTTTAAAGAGTTAAATTTTGTTGACTATTTATAGAAAAAAAATTAAAATTGTAATAAGAGATTAATATCAATTTTAACATCCCAGCACCTGACAACATCCCAGCATGTGACAACATCTCAGCACTAGACAACATCCCAGCACCTGACAACATCACAGCGCCTAACAAGATTCTATTACATTTTTAAACATTACGCTAAAGTAAGTTTGGTGTGCATTCAAAAAAATTCAGATATGATACCAGCTTGAAGAGATGCAGTTAATGTAAGATTTCAAAAAAAATTTTAGAATGATTTACAAGTTCAACCAAAAGATTTTTTAGATAAACCAAAAGTATTTAATATTTTGCTAATTTTTATGTTTGCTAATTATTAGAAATAGATGATTATAATTATAATACTTTAATATAATATTTATATGATTATAAATATTTGATTACTTAATTTCAATTAAGCAGTCAAATCAATATTTTTTTGAAAGTTATTGACTGATTGCATGTACAGGTTACTAATGCATGGAGAAGAATTTAATGGAAACCATTATTGCATCTTTTAAACAATGTTGGGCTTTAAAAATAACTATTTGCAACCTATGCCCGTAGAATATTTTCTTTCTTAATCTGGCCCAGCATAAACTTTTGTTACAAAACCAAAGCAGTTAATAAAATTTCTAAATAAAATTGTTACCAAATTGTTGATTTGATGAAAATTTCTAAAAAATTGCACATTATTTAAATACACCTTATTAAAACCAAAAAAAACGTATATGCATAATATGTTTTCATAATAACTATTAAATTTATTAAATTAAATATTAATTGCAAACAAAAAAAAACTGTAGGTATGTATTTTTAGTCATGCATTTTTAATGTTCAGATTTTTATTTAACAATCATTTAAAATGACTCTATAAATATTCATTTTTATAAATATATACTTTTATACATAATTATATATATATATATATATATATATATATATATATATATATATATATATATATATATATATATATATATATATATATATATATATATATATATACCCAACGGGCATTTGTTTTTAAAAGTTACGTTCTAAATGTCTTTTAAACGTTTTTTAAACGTTTTTTACGTAAGAATGTTTAAAAGACATTTAAAAGACATTTACAACGTAACTTTTAAAATCAAATGCCCGTAGGGTGTATATATATATATATATATATATATATATATATATATATATATATATATATATATATATATATATATATATATATATATATATATATATATATATATACATATATATATATATATATAGATACATATATATATATACATATATATATATATATATATATATATATATATATATATATATATATATATATATATTTATATACATAAATATATATTTATATATATACAAATATATATTTATATACGGTATATATATATATATACTACGGGTATATATATATATATATATATATATATATATATATATATATATATATATATATATATATATATATATATATATATATATATTTATATATTTATATACATATATATATATATATATATATATATATATATATATATATATATATATATTTATATACATAAATATATATTTATATATATACAAATATATATTTATATATATAAATATATATTTAAATGTTAATGACTATATAAAGGAAGTAACATATTAAAAATATTTTTTGTACAAAATTCAATCAAATGATATTACAGGAGATAATTTACATTCCATAGTATAGTTATATGCAACTGTTAAAAAACTTAAAAGTATGAGATAAGACTTTTTACAGGCACAAAAATGAAAAGCAATGTAGCAAAAAAAATGTTTTAAGATATAAAAAAAACTATACAATAACATATGAATTATGTTATAACTATAATTAACTATACAAAAGTATATGAATTAAACCACTATCCTTGGTTATGGGTCAATCATCCCAATTCTATTTAAAAATCTAACAAGAATTAAAACTTGCCCTAGGATTAGGATAGCTGGGCAAATTTCAATATTTGAGACAGAATAGATGCTGTTTCTAATTAATACAAAATTAAAAAGTTTTGTAAATTTTTATAATTAATTGTAAATTGTAATTGCAATATGGAAAGAATACAACAATAAAGCAATAATGAGTTGCAATTAGGAAAAGATATAATATTCAGGTCATAATTATGAAATTAAACAAGCATTAATTAGGATATGAGGAAGAGATACAAGAAAAATAATTAGGAAAAAAAATTTTAAAAATTAATTACGTCAAGATCGAATAAAGTAGTGTCAATACAACAAAATAATTTGACTGTCAACTAAATAGACAAATATATTTTCTAAAGTTGACTTTAAAATCAACTTTTGAAATCGACTTTTAAAATCAACTTTTGAAATCGACATTTAAAAACACTTTTGAAATTGACTTTTAAAATCAACTTTTGAAATCGACTTTTAAAATCAACTTTTGAAATCGACTTTTAAAATCAACTTTTGAAATCGACTTTTAAAATCAACTTTTGAAATTGACTTTTAAAATCAACTTTTGAAATCGACTTTTAAAATCAACTTTTGAAATTGACTTTTAAAATCAACTTTTGAAATCGACTTTTAAAATCAACTTTTGAAATCGACTTTTAAAAACACTTTTGAAATTGACTTTAAAAATCAACTTTTGAAATCAACTTTTAAAAACACTTTTGAAATTGACTTTTAAAATCAACTTTTGAAATCGACTTTTAAAATCAACTTTTGAAATCGACTTTTAAAATCAACTTTTGAAATTGACTTTTAAAATCAACTTTTGAAATCGACTTTTAAAATCAACTTTTGAAATCGACTTTTAAAATCAACTTTTGAAATCGACTTTTAAAATCAACTTTTGAAATCGACTTTTAAAATCAACTTTTGAAATCGACTTTTAAAATCAACTTTTGAAATCGACTTTTAAAATCAACTTTTGAAATCGACTTTTAAAAACAACTTTTGCAATTGACTAAGTTAACTAAAAGTCAATTTAGTCGAAATATGTCAAAATATGCTGAAATATGGAGATAATTTTTTTTTTTTAAATAAATTGTAATAAAAAAAAATAAAGTAATTAATATTTGCTTTCTATTTATTAACACCATATTATTTAAATAGTAATGGAGCAAAACAATATGAGTGAAGGCCTGCTCCGATAACGGGACAATTTATTCCCTGGCTTAAATTACTTCAAGAATGCCTAAAATACTTGCTTAATATCAAAAAGACTATACAATCATATTTACAATCTGATCGTATAGATGACATTTAGACTTTAGAGCTTCAAAACTTAATTTTGCCAACAAAATCACAAGCATTGAATAAACAAAAGAAAAAAAAATTAATAAAATACATAACTGAACGTTTAATTAGGCATAAATAATGCTAATGAATATAATGGGATGAGTAAATATTATTTTTATTAAATGAAGAAACAAAAATTAAAAATTGAAAAGTTAAATTGATTGAAAAGTTAAATCAAAAAGATATAAAGAATTTAGGATATTTACTCAACTAAATCGACTTTTAATCGATTAGTAGGAATTGCAAAGTCATTTAAATTATTAGATTTTTCAAAGTCAACTAACTTCAAATTTCGACTGATCGACTTTTAGTCGATTTAGTCAAATTTTGCAATAATTATGTAATAATTAGCAGAAACTTTTTTTATACAAGAGTTTTTCTTGTTTTGTAATAAAATTCTTTAACCTCGCATAAAGATGAATTATGAATCACAATTATGAATCTTTTTTCCTAATCTTACATCACTTGTATACTTAAACAAGATTGAAATGGATCATGAAAATTAATGAGGAAAACAAAGTTTGATATTAGGCATGAAGAGCATGTAGAAAAAAAGTTAAAGTGAATTTAATAGTGGTTTGCAAAATCTAAAGAAAGTATAAAAAAATACACACAGTATGTATTAATTGCCACATTGTATACTTATAGCCATAGAAAATCAACAAAATTATAATAAACCATTAACTATTTTAACAACTAATTTAAAGAATTCATACTCAAAATCTTACTGTGGATTGAAATCACAATGAGAAATCCATCCCAAATGACCAATACCAGTTCGTATATTTTCACCACTGTGAAAAAAAAATAGTAATGAAAAATAAAATGAAAAAAAAAGAACACAATTTGTTAGCTACAAATTCAAAACTAAAGTAAATATTTTAAAAACATTTTCTGTAAGTATGAAAATTTAAAACAATCATATAACAATCAAAATCTTATAAACACTGACTCTGGAATCAACCATAACTTCCAAGTTTGATCATCACTTACTGTCGCTAAAATCTGCTTATGAGGATGAAGAGAGATTCTAAAAATTACTTAAATGGTAAAATCTAAATTTGAAAAAATATATATGTCTAGGTAATAAAATAAATATAACTAATAACAGTAGTTTGTGTGAATAATATAAAAAAAGAGGAAAAATATAACTAGGAAATAAAAAAATTAAAAACTTACCCACTCACTGCCAATGAATGAGCTTTAAAGCTATTAATAAGATGGAATTCAACAGTCTTTCTTGAGTGTAAACATTCACTTGACTTATTTGATAGCAATGGACTGAAACCTTTATCTGAAGGCCAATCAGAATCCTTAAAAAAATCAATTTAATACTTATTGCTATTTTTTAATATAATAGTTTTTTATTTTAATTTATCCTACAAATTATTTGCACCTGTCAAACAGGACAGACAACTATTTATTAATAGTTTTCTAATATATATTTATTAGTATATTTTTCTTAATGCATTTTTAACCTATTTACAAGATTTACTCATGTTTAACAACCTTCAAAATATAAAATAAAATCCTTTTCACTTAATTCACTTTAAATATCTTTTTTTTTTTCCTTAAAAATTTTCATTAGGTAATAATTGGAAAAATTTAAAACAATTTTTAAATACAATCAGAGTTGTAAAACCTGTTTTATAACATATGATAATGAAACCTTATTATAACAATGTGACAATGAAACTTAGTCGGATGAAATTTTTCATCCATAGAATCTTACCTTTTTCAAAATTCAACAGACTAAAAAATTTTGCAAGTTTGTAAGACTAATTTAACTTGTTTAAAAAGATTTTTCACTGTTTTACCTTAAGTTCTTAGAGTTAATAGCTATTATCCTTTGCAAAGACTCCAATAGTCATATCATTGACTGTATACTTACATACCTATTCACCTATTCATCATGAAATCAGGTCCCAATTCTCTGATTATTCTCTTATGTGCTTTTTTCTAGCATCAGTTCATTCAATCATCTTTAACTTTGTTCATTATTGTTCTCCTTCTTCTTTGTTCATTATTGTTCTTCTTCTTCTTTGTTCATTATTTTTCTCCTTCTTCTTAAAACTCTTTTTGTTTTTATTTCTGATCAAATTGACCAAGCTCTTCTTTTTAATTCACCCGTCAATATTGCTGTTTTTGATAACAATAATATCTCATCATAAAAAATAGCTTGGAGATGACTTAATGACCTAGCTATATGACCTAGCTATATGACTTAGCTAGACTTTTATGACCTAGCTAGACTTTTATGACCTAGCTAGACTTCCTGACCTAGCTAGACTATTATGACCTAGCTAGACTTCCTGACCTAGCTAGCACTAAAGCTTAAAACCTCAATTTCATACCCAGCAAACTTTTTAAAATGCTTTTGGACAAATCTAACTATATACATTAAATCCTTAATTTATGTTTGATCTGGGATCCTAGCTTGTGCTCAGTTTCTCCTTTAGGTGATTCAGATTATAATACAATTTTTAAACTTTTATCTTGTACTTCTTCTAAATTACCTTAATTGCAACTACCTTAAAGGTGTCTGGGAAATTTTAAAATCTTTTGAAATTTTTTATGATGGCCCTTTGGGTCTTTCTGCTGAAAATTGCAACTCATGCCATTTCCTTAATTCAGTCAAACAAAAAAGTATTTTTCCTTTTATTTATCTTATGAATCTAATAACTAAATTCTCTATGACATCACAGAGAAACAGATTAATCAATTATAAAACATCCTGATCACCAGGGTGGAGTGAAAGCAACCTTTTTAGAATTTCTATTATTTTTCATGATTTCTATATTAATTACAAGAAAACTAAAATAATGAGCAAATTTTGAAATAAATTACCCCCTGCAGGAACTTTTGGCCAACATTTGAAATTTTTTATTTCAACCCCTGTTTACTACATAAAATTAATGTACAAAAAGCAGAATTTTGTAACAA